ATTTGACGTGGTATCATCACGAAATTTGACATGGATTGCTGCTTATGGTAATAATATAATCTCCGAAAAAAATTTTCAGATCAGTAATCTGCATATAGCATATAGCTTCTATACAAACAAAACATATAATTACTAACAGAAATGCACCTGTGAAGGGTATTTAGCTTCGGTGCAACTGAAGTTAACCTTTTTTTCTTGTTTTCTGTAAGTTGGTTGTACTGTTAGTGACATCTATGCTAAATTTCAGGTCAAAATATTCATTAGTATTTGAAATACGCGTCGTTTTGTGAAGCTCTAAAAGTGAATTCTCGTTTTTTCTTTTGTGTGTGTGAATCGAGGAAGGCTCTGATGGCCATCACGATGGAGGATTTTTCCAAGTGCTATGATGACTGGAATATTCGTTGGCATAAATGTATTGCACCGGGAGGACATTACTCTGAAGGAGATGAACAAAATTCACCTTTCAATATGATCACAGCTGTATATAATCTTTCCTCTTACATTGCAAATTGGATCACAGCTGTATATAATCTTCCCCCTTACATTGCAAATTTTGCAATTTTTCTATTTGCCCATTGCTTTTGACATATTTTATTAAGGAGTACAATTACTAAGTCACTATTCTCCTCAAATAATATAAGCATATTTTCATTCCATTTATTATTGTTTTTTATTTCCTCTCACTTAAATTTCTTATGAATTATCGTTGAAATTAGTTAAATTAAATCTCAGCTACTAATTGTATATGACTTTTACATCAAATGGCAAGCTGCCAAAAACATCTTTTACAAAAACAACTCGCCTTAACCTCGAAAGAGTGAAATGAGCAGCATTCCTCTCTCGTTTAACACGTCATTTAGCTGATAATTTGTATCGCACAGATGCGCCTTTGACGAAACTATAAGCACTTTTTCCTGATTATTTTTTTTGTTACCCACATATGTATGTATGTATGTGTGTGCATGATTCTCCTGCAAATGCATCTGTTGATAAATCGTCTTGCGGTAACAATTACAAATTGCCACACTGAAAGCAACAAACATCTGTCCGCAATTTACAAAATCACATTCAACAAATTACAGTGAGCAACATTAATTAACGACCTTTTAATAAAGAAGGAAAGCTGCTTAAATTTGATGAAAAATATTAGGGTAATTATGTTTGAATTTGCATTAGATATTTAGAATTTGCAACTATAAACAAAATTTTATAGTTTTCAAGTGTTTGACTACGATTAATTAAAATGCCCAAAATTAATTAAAAATCCGCCGTCAGAATATATATGAGAAGAAGAATAAGCGTAGAATGTATGCATTAATGTGTGCATAAGTACTAAGTAGATTTGTGTCTTTTGGGTCAAGGAAAGTGGGGAATGTGTTGACAATGACGCGTGACCACTTAATGGAATTAGCTGTTGGCCGAAGAATATYTTAGYGCTTCAAGGTCTTTTTTGTTAAATACTCTTTAAATATTTTTTAGTTATAGTTATAATTTATGGTAAAATATTGGGCAATGCTGAAAAATATCTAACAAGACATTTTGGACTTAAAATGTTGAAAAATGAAGAACTTCGGTCTATTTTTTAGATACCCATATTTTAAAAATTTATCAATATTTATTATTTTATATGACTACTTTATATAATATTATTAAAAAACTTTAGTTTGAAACTAATCGCTTTTCAACATGATAAGTTGAAAAATTTGGTTTTTGAATATCACACGATGGATTCCGGATGGAAATCAGGAAAGTAAAATAAATTTTTTTAAAGAAAATTTCTAAACATCATCAACTATGCCTGTTCATCGCTGTTAGATTTGCAATTTCTCACATATCAGAAGTCATCGCATAAACAATCAAAATATGTGTAGGATGAGAGTTACATTCTAATTGTAAGTACATATATATTTTTGTATGATGAGCAGAAATCCAATATTTAGTTATTTTTCGGTTAGTTTGTATGGTAGCTATAGAGGGTTTGCCCGGAAAGTAATAGGACAATCTTTAAGATTCTTTAAAAAATGTTAAAATAGCGTTAAGAGCCGCGGTGCATGCTGCTTGGATCCCCTCTGTCGTGTCAAAATACTTGCCTTCGGACTTTTCAGGCATGGAAATAAAAATGTCCTGGGGATCACATCTGAGCTGTAGGCCGACTGCGGAAGCGTTGGGATGCCGGCCTTGGTTAAGTTGCTGTTCAAAAGAAAGGTGGTGTGAAATAGGGCGATATCGTGGTGCAACCCGATTGATTCTTTGCTTGAGTTTGTTAAGAAATTCCACATAAAACTTGGCGTTGGTGCTTTGTCTAGGAGGAACAAATTTATGGTGGACGATGCATTTGATGTCAAAAGGCACCACTTCTTGCTATAGCAACATCTGGGTAAGTCTGCTTGATCATATCAAATGTCTCTGTCGCAGATTTACCGAGTTTCACACAAAATTTAATCAAGTACCTCTACTCTAACGAACACTGCATTTCGGCTTGCACCACTCGCAGAAACACGTCGAGCGAAAATGTTTGTCTTCACTCTCCAGGTACTCGGTGACAACTAACTATCCCAATCCAGTCGGTGAACGCAGCCCTATTACTTCCCGGACAAACCCTGTATGCTATTGTTACCCGATCTCCGTTTAGATTGGACAATTCAAGCCAAATTTCGTCGAGATTCTTGTCTAATTTTAATAGTTACAGACTTCGTGGCAAACTTGATATACCCTGTTCGGCGTATAATATTTCTAGAGTAAAAGTGACCAGATATTTCAACCGGATGCAGTGAAACACAGACGAGGAAGCTGCAAACTTGTCAGAACACAGCACTCCGGACTCAGGGTGCCTCCTGATGACTTCCATCGAACAACTGCATAGTGAGGCTCGTATGCTCCCAGTTAAGGAGCATAATGAGCTCCTCCCCAAGCATTTTATGATAGGGTGTTTTCGCAGAAATCATCCCTTCAGTCACCTGCTTGGAGCGCAACCGCCTCCTAGGAGCAACAAGAGGTCATTTCTCAACTATATCGACAACATAAAACAATACGCAGGCTAGACTTCGCACGGAACTAACTTCCGACAGGCACTGACCGCCTTTCACAGCGGTACCACTTATACCTTCACCGAGTCCTTCTCAATGAGTTTCTGCGCGAAATAAGAGTGACCATTGCGCAGCTTCGTTCTGGATAGTGTATCAGGTTAAACTCCTACTTATATGGAATATACATATGTACCCTGACATTTGAAACACATGTCCAGCGTGCAATGAGTCCCCACATGATCCTACTCGTCTTATATCCTTCTCTCTTTGTTCCGTACCCGTCGAAACAGCAAGTTTCTTGAGCCTACCTTTCGATGACTTATCTAATCCTTACCATCCTAAAGGGGAGATGCAGGAGTGTATTTAAATATGAAGTCATCTTTATGACAGCTCCAAGAAGGTATTGGTATCCGTAAGAGTTGTAAATAATTCTATTACAGTAGTCATTGAAAACGTAGAAGACGAAAGAAAAAAACTCGGCGCTTTTCATTCCAATTGAATTTCAATTTCCATTCTGCTTCAAATATTTTTGGAATTTGTATTGATTACCCAAAAGCTGTTCATGCATGCGAGTCGAGCATTTTTAGCAATACTTCGTGATCAAAATAGCTGCTAATAATAACAAATGATATCGAAACGAAAATATGTATACTCGAATATTTGTGTGTGGAAATTTGAGCACACAACGCAATCTCATCTGCGGAACAATAATTTAAACTATAAAAATATATGCCTCCACATTGCCATATACATAACTGTATATGTACATACATATCATACAACTGTGTACATCCTTTGCTTTCCGACTTTGGGTCGAGCGAAGCACGAGCACCAAGAGTATACATGAACTCGTACCGATTAGGCGAGGTAAAAATAAGTAAGTCATGTCATTTCCATAAATACTCGTACATACCACACAAAATACCAGCAGCATCCAATACATGAACGGCTAAAGCCAACAACTGCATGGTGCTGCAGCCAACGCAATGCCATTGATGTATGAGAGCCAGAGAGCTTTTACGGCGGTGGCCTCGTTGGCACCTGCTGGCGGTGTTATGAGCACCATCAATTCGGTTGTGTTCCAACGCAACGTTTGGGCTACCAAAAATAGACAAACTGCCAGCCAATGTTTTTACTCGAACGAATAATATGTATGTATAAATGTATATGTACAAATATTATATTTCTATAAGATTACAAAAGAATGAACGAAGCTATTATGCAACACATCGAGAAAGCTCGTGTGTTTCGAAAAGCCGAGTGAAGAAATGGGCGACGTGTGCGGAGCTTGTGCATGGAAATATGATCGGTGCTTGGCATATTTTTGGCGGCAGTGGAGGGGAGTCTAACATTTTCAATGCTTTTGTTGATGGTGAGAGCTTTCTCGTAGCTACAACATCAACGGCAACAACGGCAACAACATGTATGATCTAAGCGCCCTATCGAGTATAGCGAAGACCCAACCCTATGCTGAGTGCTGTTGCCCCACCCAGCCCCTCGGCTACCCTCTGTTTGACCATAACTGCGTTATAAAGTCATTGATATGGAAAATTAAGTCTAAAAAAGTCGTTTTATTTATAAATAATTATAAATTGTTTTAATTTAATTACATAAGAAATCATTACATTATTTTACATGTGGCAAAAATACCCTTAAAAACAATAATGCGTTCATTATGCTTTCATAAAACTATAAGCAAAATCAACAGTTAATCGAAATGAAACGAAACATGTTCATAAACGGTAAATTGTTAAATGGCAAACATAAAACATAAATCTGGTTCAGTGTTGTTTGTGTGTTCTTTTGTTTTTGTTTTTACAGTTGTGAGTGTTGTTCAGTCGTTATGAATTTGCGATCTGGAACCAGGGATCAATTGGTATTGACAACATTTATGCAAATAAATAAATAAACGAATGGGCGGGCATCTCTGAAGGCATGTTGTTGTTGTTGTTATAGCTAATATGGTGATACTGCATCATCAGGCACAATAATGTGGCGAACAATGCAATAGCCACGTCAGCGCGAACACGTAAAAGCGTATTACTAGCTGGTAACAGTAACTGCTTAGAAGCACTTGCGGTGGACAATGCCAGGGCCGGATTCGTCGTATTCTTCCTTGGAGATCCACATCTGTTGGAAGGTGGAGAGGGAAGCCAAGATGGAACCACCGATCCATACGGAGTATTTACGCTCTGGTGGGGCAATGATCTTGATCTTGATGGTGGATGGAGCCAAGGCGGTGATTTCCTTTTGCATACGATCAGCAATACCTGGGTACATGGTGGTACCACCGGACATGACAATGTTGGCGTACAAGTCCTTACGGATATCAACATCGCACTTCATGATTGAGTTGTAGACGGTTTCGTGGATACCGCTGGATTCCATACCCAAGAATGAAGGCTGGAAGAGGGATTCTGGGCAACGGAAACGTTCATTACCAATGGTGATCACTTGACCATCGGGAAGTTCATAAGATTTCTCCAGGGAGGTGGAGGCAGCGGCTGTAGCCATTTCTTGTTCGAAGTCCAAAGCAACATAGCACAATTTCTCCTTGATGTCACGGACAATTTCACGCTCAGCGGTGGTGGTGAAAGAGTAACCACGTTCGGTCAAGATCTTCATCAAGTAGTCGGTCAAATCGCGACCAGCCAAATCCAAACGGAGGATGGCATGGGGCAAGGCATAACCTTCGTAGATTGGTACGGTGTGGGAAACACCATCACCAGAATCCAAGACGATACCTGTGGTACGACCGGAAGCGTACAGGGAGAGGACAGCCTGGATGGCGACATACATGGCTGGGGAGTTGAAGGTTTCAAACATGATTTGGGTCATCTTCTCACGGTTAGCCTTTGGGTTCAATGGGGCTTCAGTCAACAAGACTGGGTGCTCCTCTGGGGCGACACGCAATTCATTGTAGAAGGTGTGATGCCAGATCTTTTCCATATCATCCCAGTTGGTGATGATACCGTGTTCAATGGGGTACTTGAGGGTCAAGATACCTCTCTTGGATTGAGCTTCATCACCGACGTATGAGTCCTTTTGTCCCATACCAACCATCACACCTTGATGACGTGGGCGACCTACAATTGAGGGGAAGACGGCACGGGGCGCATCATCACCGGCGAAACCGGCCTTGCACATGCCGGAGCCTAAAAAATAAAAAAACACAAACCGTACGTAAGTAAGAGATTCGCCCTGCTATCGCTGGTCTTTATGTGTCATAGGAAAAACGGACGGCGGGAAACGTAGAAACGTGCGGTAAAAGTGAGTGAGGCAGCGCCATTTCATACTACACTACACTACTACAAATTTTTGCGAATTCCGGAGAGGGTGTCGCGAAAAATGGCGCATAAATCTCGCAACTTGTGATGGAAATGAACCTCAAAAAATCAAATTTTTGAAAAAATTGCGTTCCGAAAAAAATCAGTTTGAGGGATGCAACTAGAAACGTGATTGGCCTACTTTTAATGCGTTTTTTATTTTTAATATTTGGTTCTGCTAAAATTATTATCATTGAAAAGTGTGTCGTCTATTTTTGCTAAGTGCTGATATTTTTAGTAACAAATGTGAAATTTTCAAAATTGTTCGAGTATTTTTTTTTTCTTAATTTGTAAAATACTTAGTCTTTCTGTAACTAAATTGTGATTTTAATAGAAAATATATTTTTCATTATTTGCCAAATTGTATAGAAAACTGTAATATTGCTTAATCAGTTTTCCTTTCCTGCTTTGCCCTCCAGGGCTTTGCTATATCTTTATGCTATGTTTATGACATTTTTTTTTAGATTAATGGGGAACTGGTACAGTTCAAATAAAAAATATTACGTGATCCCATGGAGGGGGGTCTAACCGGAACACACTACGCAATGCTGGTCAATGCCAACGCCCTACTTCTTGAAACTAGATATTTCTGTATCTCTCTTGTCCTTAATCACTTGAGATCTAATAAATTATTTTTAAATTTTCTCTCTTTTGTTATCCTTTTCGTTTCAATACTATGTTTGAGTTGTGCACTTTTCACTACACCATTTTCGTATCTCTTCGCCTCCTTCCGCCGTAAATCCTTCAAACTGTAATCCAATTGTGCTTTGCTGCTGGTGGATTGGGCTTTCATCCAGCCCACCAACAACAATATCCACAGCTAAAATCCAACGTTAACGCACCATTATCAACGACCAAAGCAGCAACCTCATCGTCACACATTTTGTTTGTGTTTTGTGTTTTAAAACCACGAGCAAGAAGAAATAATCAAATAATAAGGCAAATGTGTACGCTTTGGAACACTACTCACTGACTAAAGTGCCTTGGCCACTGCCAGTCGATTTTATACCAATCAACATAAAACTACAATTTTCATGTTCATCGTATGGGAAATCCAAAAAAGTTCTTCGGCAACAGTGATCGTCAGCTGCGATGCCGCTCAGCGTCGCCAACACCCGCAACTCTCCATCAACGGCGGCGACAAGCTCACCTCCACCGCCAACTCGGCATACACGATACTCCGCGCCACACACAGGCACACATACAGGTGCTTCGCCACAAGCAGCAACACCAACACCAGCTCATGCAACGAGGAATATGGTGTGTTTACGATTTTTCAGCGCCGCTAAAAATAGACCGATCATACCGCCGCGCTCACCGTCATCAGCGGCACACCAACACATGTACGCTATGCATTGACGAGGCTGGATGACAAGCGATGTGCGCGYAGCCGAGCGAGTTAGCAATAGCGATCGTGCTCCTGCGCACTGTGGCACCCCCACACACTATCTTCGCCTGATGTATGCATGTGGGTGTATAGGTTGGTTCGGCTTGCTGGCGAAGCTGTTGTGCCGTCATAGCGGCAGCGCAGTGCTCACGTTTGCTTGGCGTGGTTGTGCGCTCGCTGTTTGTTGTTGATCGCAGCGTATGCTCGCATTCGTTCGGCTTGATCGAGTATGATTGTGCAAATGTGTGTGCATATTTCATGGGTAATTGGTTCGGCTCTCCACGGAAAGCGCTCCAAAAGCGCCGTATAAGGCAAGGCGGCCGCGTCAACGCCACAGCGCCTGCCGTTGCGAGCTCGTGGTTGGCGGCTGCTGTGTGGTGCGGCGGCGGTATTTTTTTAACAAATTTATTCTAAATGTAAAATGTGTGGCACTTTTGGTTTGCTTCTATTTCTCCGTTTCAATCGCATACGCTGTTTATGTGGTGGGGGGGGCTGTGATGGGCATCTTGCCATCTAACTCAGAGGGTGTCTCGCTTGCACGCGTTCGCCTGCCGAGCATATCGGCAGCATTTCGTCGCTTTTCAAACAAAAATATTTTCAATATTCTATTTTCGAACATTTAATTTTTCAAAAATGCTTAATAAATACATATTTTCCGCTTGTATGGATGTGAGGCTGTGGGGTTGTGTTGTGGCTCTCGCGTTGCGTACGAGCATCGCTCTCGTTAGCCGTTGTGGCCCCCACGCACGGGCGTCTAAATTTGCATTTGTATGGCCGAGCAAATTGTTATCGCACATGTGTATCATTATGTAGGAATTTTTCGTATATTTGTATGCATATATGTATATATGTATGTACATATGTGAATATGCATATTTGTTGGATAGGCGAAGGCAAGGTGGTCAGTGCTTACGTTGTTGATTTTATTTATTGGCGCCTTTTTCTGTTTTGTACACTTCTATTTTTGGTAATTTCCATGTTGCCACCCTCTGTGCATTTCTCCGGTGTTGCCACCTCGTCATTTTGGGATGTTTGCGCTTGGGCTTTCATACATCTACATTTTTGTTTGCTTTAAAAAAATGTTAAGCTCATGAACCAAATACATATTTATACATATACACACACATACATTATTACATACATCTGTTTACATGGCGACACACTGTTGCACCAACATGTTGAATGTCGGTCCAGCGGCGCTCTGGACTTGGCAGCATAGTAGGTTTTCATGTTTTTCTTCACATCAAAACATTTTGGGTTCTGTCTGGAGTTTTAGTTCAATAAAATATGAAATAAATCTTGATCACACATACACCCTCAAGCTCAATTAGAATCGGATATAATATTCTATACACCAATATATGTACATATTTATGCTGGCATACATGTCTCGGCCCACACTTGTACATGGAGTGCAAGTATTTTTGGAATGCTAAGTGGGGCAAGTGTTTACATACTTTTGCCGATTTTGATTCTGTAATCGAGCAAATGGAATGATTGCAGTAGTTTTATGTAAATAGAATTGGTGCTTTGTCGAACTATTTACGCTTGCATGGGTTAAAATTAAAATGATCAGCTCTAAATGTGGAACTAGTTCAGCTCGAAATAGCCACAAATATTAAGTAGAGTTTACATTTCAATACGATTCGCATGGGAATATACTTTTAGCATTAATTGAGAATTTTTGGTAATTTTCGAAAATAAGATAGATTTAATACAAATATGTGTATATTTCTGCTAACCGCATTGTAAACAAGAAAAAATATTAGCCGAAGCTATAATACCCTTCACAAATAAAATAGTTCCAATACAAGAACTTCCTTTTGATCGGCCAGTTTGTATGCCGTCTACATATCAGCTATAGTTATCCGAACTGATCATTTGTTCGTAGATTGTATCATTGTCTTGGACAATAATCTATGCCTCATTATGTGAAGATACCTTGTCAAATAAAAAAGGAGCAAATACTGTGAGATCTGGTAGTATTATTAGCGGTGAAAATTTATGAAGGGTACATACATAAGTTCAGATTTTATTGCAATGCTAGGCAAAAAAAAGCCTGATTTCAGTAGCTTTCCCATCATACTGGTAGACATTTTTAATTTTACTAAATTACAAATTTCCATACACTCACTACCTAATGACGCCATATGCTTGCATGGAAAGCTTTCACAGATTAATTTGAACAAGTGAAATGGAATCACTTCCAAAATATTCCATTCAATTGTTTACAGAGTGACCCGCTTATTTCTACAAATCTCTGGAAAAATCTGTATAAATTTAGAATTTATTGGCTATTAGTGGGGGAAATAGAGCAGAAAAGCTTTTACGGAATATACTCTCAATATTTAATATGGCCGAGGCGTAATGTGTTTAATAAGGTGTGGCTAAGTAATTGCTTTCTTTCTTTCGTAATTAGGAGTGTTGATTTCTCCCTCAATTTAAATATCATTAGAAATTTTTAGTAAATCATTATAGATGAAACCCGTTGAATAAGTAAAATAAAATAAGGAAATATAATTAATATTCCACCAGAGGCGGGGTGAGCGAGGGAACGGGATAGCATTAAAAATTTTTCAACTCGATTTCTTGCAAAACTACAAGTATTATAGAAAAAAGTTATGTATCAAAGTTATACAAGTAGGTAAGAAAAAGCTCTGAAAATTTCGCAAGAAAAATGGTGAACTTTTTCACAAGGTCAAATTGATGTGAGAAATGAAATTAACCAATTGTTTAGTTTTTGATTATTATCTTTGTAAAAAATTGTTTTTGGTTTTTTAGGAAAGTTTAGGAAAGCCTGTTGTTTTGGATTTTTTGTAAAAATTATGTTGTTTTTTTTTTTAAGAAAATTATTTGTTTCAGTTTAGTTTTCCTCCTTATTTTGTTTTATTATCGGAAAAAGATCCTATTTTTTAATCGAAAATTTTTCTTTAAGGGATCAGTAAGGTAATCAGGTAATCTGACCTGTTTGTAGGTATATCATGGAGTGAGTGTATAAACAAATTTTTTCGGAATTTTTGGATGACATCTGTCGGAGGAATCGCTGGGTGAATGAGATAGGATGGTGGACACGATTTCTCATGTTTGGATCATTAGAAACACAAAAACCCAATTCTTAAAAAGTACGTGTATGGTTATCGTCTCTACTAGAATTATACAAAACGTTGATAAATAAAAAAGTATTTTTTTTTCAATTTTCCAAAAAGTTATGAATCTAGTAGGGACGATAGCCGAGCGTTTTGTGAATATTAAAAAAAAATTAGCAAATCGGTTGAGTAGTTCGACCGGAATCATGTCCGCCAGTTTAAAAAAGTGTGTTTTAAGAAAAACGCGTTTAAAGTTTGAGGTGTGCACTCCGAGCGCTCCGAACGTCGAGCGGTATTTTAATTTTTGTGCCTTTTTCGAAACCTTCCAATGGTGAAGTGGGTTTCTATATTAATTATAGGACTATAAGGAAATAGAAAATGCAAAAAAAAAAAAAAAAAAATTTAAAAAGATTACCCTACTGACACCTTAAAAATGTTAGCTTTTAAAAGTATTAGTAAGCTTTCCGCTCGCAAGCGTGGAAAAACGCAATAACCGGCTGGCAAGGTTACAGAGTCTGCACTTTGGGATGCGCATTGAATAATTTTTATTGACTACCTTGATAAACGAAGGGCCTTGAAAAAGGGGGAATATCGATTATTACATAACAAGACAACAAAATGGGCTTTACTTTGGTAAACCGGGGACTTTTCAATTAAAAGAAGAGTCATTTAATAAAAAAAAAATAGTAAGTTTTCAGCTGCCTCAAATGCAGCATACTGCAAATTTCTTTTGAATTAGCGAAAGGTGTTATATGGTCAGTAGTGACCAATGGACAAAGCCAAGCGGTGAAATAATCAATGCCTCAATGCTCCCTCCATATGTGAACCCTACATCACATATTAGGAGGGAGTATTGTACAATTGTGATTTGTGAGTAGACTCATTAGCCGTTGAAAGGATTTCGCTCTTCAATGGTTGAATGCGGCGATCCATTGTGGTGGCTTAAGCGTAATGAAAGGGTGCTAGCTACTCCAATTCAATRCTCTTGTTGTTGTTATTCTGTTATTGACATTATTAGCTTACTGTGGGCAAATGTATGTCACTCACCCAATCATAGGATCCATAGAAGTAAAGTGGTATTTATTTACATTACGAAGTAGCTGACCGATGCCTAACTGATTAGTGTGATGTGAATTTCTATTGTGCTGATGGCATTGACTGCGCGGATTCAGATTCAACACCGAAACTTACATACATACATATGTGGTTTTATGTGTTTGATTGARCGCCTTTAATTGAATTTTCATTCGGTTCGATTTGTTTGAATTACTGATTGTTTTGCCTTGTTGTGGGGATTTGTGGTCGCCTGCCACATTTGGCGCGGCTCTGCGATTATTTGGAACTTGTGAAAATATTTGCACAGCCACGCGACATTTCACAGCGAAATCCATTAGAGTTTTGAAATGAGATTTCATGGGAAATTTGAACTAATTTGCTTTGTTCGGCAATTGGGAATTACTCAGAGAAAAGGAAAATTAGGTGGGTTAGGGATACATACCAACWTAAAGCATCTATATTT